CTTTTCCCCTGTCTTCTAAACCAAGACAAGGAGACATCCTTTCTTGGCCGTGAGCTGCTCAGAGTTCGTGGTCAGTGCTGGGGTGGTGCACGTAGCTGTGGCATAGCTCCTCTGCTCCCAAAGCAAGGTGAGGACAGATGTGAGCCAGCAACATGGGGCTCTGTGTCCTGCAGACCCCCAGCCCTTAGCAGATAGTAGTGAGAACCCCCTTCTCCAGGGGCTGCGGCACCTGAAGGCAAGGGAGGAACTTAGCAGCTGTGACATATCCTGGGTTTGTATTGCAGAAAAACCACCCTCTGCAGCTGGCTGCAACTCCACTGTAACAAAGGACAGATCCTGTCCTCGGCGTCCTCAAACCAAGACACTCCCAGGTGGGTGGCATGGGTAGGTGACTCCAGCTGGGGTGACCACAGCTGCCAAATTCTCCTCTGTCATCACAGGCAATCGCATCCCCAAAACAACTGCTTCGGGGGTTGGCAACGTGGTGGTCTTCTCTCGCCCTCTCCTTGAGGTCACTGGCAGAGGTACCTGTGTTCGACAGCTGAAGGGGAAGCAAACAGCCGGGAGCCCACTCTCTGGCCCCTTTCCTTCTGCCACATTCCAGCAGGAACTCTTGCCCTTCCTGGGTGTGAGGTCTCAATGCAGTGCCCAGACAAAACCCCCAGCCCTGCCCACACTCCCCACAGTCCCACAGCAGGGAGCCAAGCGGGACACACGCGACACAGCACTGCTGCCTTTGCGGGAGGAAGGCTTACCACGGACAAAGAAGTACTTGTTTTTCACCAATTATATGCCCCCAAGTAGCTGTTGATCATTTCCCACAGCTACGTAGAGAACTGAGGATGAACACTAACTACATTTTCTTAGTTATAATTTCTAGCTTTTATTCCCTAGCAAGGACCTGAAGCACCTTCCTTTCCCCTCCACGCTTTCCCCATGCCGGCCTCGCAGGCACCCGCAGCACAGCGGAACAGGAGCTCAGCTCTGCTGCGAAGGGAGCGGCAGAATCACTCCGTACGGCTCCGTTCAGCAGATCAGGACAGAAGGGGGAGCCCAGGAGACAGAATCAGAGAGCATCCCGCCCCGCCGGGCTCCAGCCAAGCTCTGGATGTTGACGGCATTCATAGAAACTTGCCTTTTGTTTCTACAGCCCCCTTTTGGCGTTTATTTATGGTTTATAGGAGACCACTCTCACCACTCCGAGTCGGCACCAGCATTTCCACTGCACTGAAGAGTGAGCCGTTCCACCGACAGTGCCCAGAAATCGCTGCCACCACATGCTCTGTGGTCGTCCTCTGTATTGATGGGCCACAGCATCTTCCCCGTCCTTCACAATGACACTTTCCCTCCAGACCTCTGAGACCCCGATCGCCATGTGCTGTGCCCGTCATCTCCTGCTTTAAAACCCACTTCAGAAGCCACCTCCTTGACAACTTGTTTGACTGACAGCACTTGTCTTGTCCTAGACAAGCCTGCAGCCCCCTGATAGACAGAAATGTGGTAGTTTTGACCCCTTTTAACCAGACACCTACATGACTGATATTTTTCGTAGTTAAAGGAGCCTGAGCTGTGGCACTGCTGGGTGCATGAAGTGTCCCAGCTCCTGGTGCACCCCAGGAACATCAGCCAACTCGCTGACCGACTGTGTCTTGTGAATGCTTTCCAATGTCTTGAGATATTTCCTAGCAAACAAATAATTTTCTCTTTTGCATAAACTACTGCTCCGGCCTTGCACAGAACTGGCGGAGGAGCAGCCATGAGAAGGAGCCCAGCAGGGCTTAGGCTGTACAGAAAAGGGGCTGCCTTTCCCTCTGCCCCCAAAACCTCTGGTGGGTTCAGAGACTGATGCCCACCGCAGACCTGACCTGCTGAAACTTATTTAACGTTTCCTAACAGGCCAGGCTGTGCTGCAAGCCTGTTTTCAGATAGCGCTGGTTTGTACTTTGTTATTTTTAGATACCCACTGTTTGTTACATCTCTATTTTACACCTCCAAAGTCAGACATCAATTACTGACTCGGGTGCCTATTAAAACCTAGCTCACAAATAGACTGTTCTGCCTGTGCCCGCCTTAGTAATTTCTCTCTAATTTATTTCTGACGATCATTCGTTTTCCTCTCCAGCCATGAAAAATAAGCCCGTTGTAAAATACCCCGGGGCCACAGAGCCTCTCTGGCATGAATGGGACAGGAAAGCGCAGAAACATGGATTAAGACACACAGTTTATGCGGTCAATGGAGATCAGTATACTGGAGAATGGCTGGACAACTTGAAACACGGTAAGACAGACCATTTTCAGGAAAAGTACCAATTCAGATGTCGTTAGAAAAATTCTTAAGGCCAGCGAGTGGTCAGTGGTCGGTCATGTATGACATTCCCCACAAACCCAGGTGCTCCAGGAGACAGAGAAGGGGAAGGAGACCCTGGCCAAGCCCTGAGCAGCCTGAGCAGGACAGGCTTGTTTACCAGCAGTAAACTAAGGTTTGGAAAGATTTAAGTGCCTTCAGCAAAGGCCACACAGGAAGCCCGTGCTCAAGATTAATGATGCATCTGACTCGGGAAGCTAAACAGAACCCAGACATAAGCCTGTGTCGGTGCAGGGAGCTCCTTCACCCAGGATGGGGCTGTCAGAAACCCGCGATGGTGTCCTCATAATTCCTCTTGTTTGTTAAACAGGTAAAGGCAGGCAGTTGTGGAAACACACCAGAGCTATTTATAGCGGTGACTGGAAGTTTGGGAAGCGAGATGGTTATGGCTCCTACAGCATTCCTGACCCTGTAACCAAGGAATACAAGAAGGTGTATGAAGGCTGGTGGAAAAATGACAAAAAATGCGTAAGTGAGACGTCCTGTGCCTGTTGGCAGCAAGGCAGCATTCCCTAACACACGGGGAAGAGCTGGGTGTGTATGTGCAAGCAGATGGCTTAAAATACTGATTTTTCCAGTGCTGAAGCTGAATTGAAGGGTTTTGGGGAAACAAATAGGTGGAACAAGAAAATGAAAGCAAGAGCTTTCAAGAAAATGAGAGGAACCGATCCCACCAATCTGCTGGTGACCAAGTTCCAGCCCTGACCTCCCAGCAGCAGCTGCAGAGCAGCGATTGCTGCCCTCACTCACCTGCAGCTTGGCCAAGCAGGATGAGAGGTTTCGTATCCCAGGTCTTGATCCTCCCCACTTGCATCCTCGAAGCAGTCAGAGGAACCTGTATTACAAGCACTGCAGGAAAATCTACCTTCTTCTGGGAGTTTTACAGCATATTAGACAACATGAGTTCTTCTGGAAATTAAGCCTAGCACATAAATCACTGTTTTTTTTCTAAAGGGAACATAGTGAGGAAGTAATCTGGCAAAAATGCCCATTATATGCAAAATCCTTGTAGGAACGTTTTCTGACCTGGCAATGGAAACCTTGTGTTCGCCTTTGTGTCTTAAACCAAATTAACAGCCTCTTACACTTCTAATTGGTGTGTAGCTCTGTGGCTCCAGTCTCTTGGAGGGATCTTCCCCTCCTGTTCTTTGGAAGATTGAGCTTTGGTGAAAGATTTCTCAGGACATCCAAATATCACTAGCGTTGTTTTTTTCTTCTGCAAAAACCTCCTTTTTACTTCAGTGCAGTTGAATAAAATTCATGCTCAGACAAATCACTTATTTCCAGAACGGATATTTTTTGTTGTTCAGAGGTAAATGAACACTTTATTCCTATGGGAAAACTCAGGAGTAATATGTAAATATTTCTTATTGGTATCACTCCCCAGTGTAGGGGCTGCCTCTGGATTTCTCATAATGGCAAACACAAAGTAAGACAAACACCTCCTGGGGTCCACAGCTTGCACAAAAGCAGTGGTCTTAATTCAGAAATTCACCAACCAAACCTGCCAGCAGCGTCAAGCCCGAGGAGGGAAAGCAAAGAGGTTTTTGGGGGTATAGATGGAGGAGAAGGCAAAACTGTGTCCACACTGGGCCGTACGAAACAGTGTCAGGGTTGAAAGGTATAAAATCCCTATGTTGGGACAGGTCTTGTTTATGCTGCCTATGCCCAGGCAGTTTTATGTTCTAGTCAAACCCACTTTTAGCTAAATATTAGCAGCAATCGTGCCAATAATAACACGCGGAGATTTTGTCATGGGAATAACATAATTTGACCAAAAAATTCCCATACCACCACCTCTCATTTCCTTCCACACAAGCATGGGCGCTGAGCTGGGCTGCCAGCAGCCATGTGTGAGAATAATAAGTAGAGGAGTAGTGTATCAAAAAAGCAATGTCCCAAAATTGAACCTCGACCCCTTTCAGTACCAAGGTTCCTAACCGGCCGTCTCTGTGCTGCTCTCCAGGGCTACGGGACAATGTTTTACCCCAGCGGGGAGCGCTATGAGGGCGAGTGGTGCGCTGGGCGGCGAAGCGGCTGGGGACGGATGTACTACAGGGACAGCTCCATCTACGAGGGACAGTGGCTGGACGACCAGCCTGATGGGCATGGGATGCTGCGGCTGCGTAAGTACCGGCCGCCTTCACCCAACAGGTCCTGACTACCCACTTGGAGGTATTTGGTGCCGTGGTGCGTTACAGATGTCTCTGCTGCCAGATTTCAGGGCACTACATTGCATCTCCTGACGCAGCCTCGCACCAGGGTCGTGCGGGCTCCCCTGCATCGTCCCTCCAGGGCCGTGTGGGCTCCCCTGCGTCGTCCCTCCCCTCCTGTTTTGGGGCTGGAGGCAGCACAGGCTGTGCAAGGGCCGGCCTTGAGCTGCTCAAGCCCACACGCATGAGAGCTTATTTTTGCTGTGATTTACATTTAAATGACAAGGATGGTTAGGGTTTGAGATAATGTACTGTGGGGTCTGAGGAGAGCAAATCTCTCTTTTCAAGCCAGGCACTTTGCCAGACATACTTTCTAGCTGCTGCATGCTGAAGAGGAGTCCAGTTTCCAGCACAGAAAAAAAAAAAAGTTCCTTTTTTGAGTTCACTTCATCCCATCTTCTACATCTGACGCTGGCTGATGTTGAGTGACCACAGCAGTTTCATGAGTACACAATCCCTACCCAGAAATAATGCCGAGAACATCACAGATTAGGAATGTTGGGGGCAATCTCTGAGTAAAAATACAAATTTGGATTTTTTTTCTCTCATGAGTTTATCATGTTTTTCCCCGAAGCTAAGAACACCAATCCTCTGGATAAAGGCACTGCATTCTATGAACGTTTGAAGAAATATTATCTCTGTATTATTATTCATCTGTTCTATTTCTTTTCGCTTGAAAGTGATCTCAAGGCTAGTAATTAGCTAAGCAAAGCAGCTAGGAGGCATGAGCATGACCTTCACTGCACTTCACATGCACGGCTGCGCGCTCTTTGCTGACCGTAAAGTCACTTGGGACTGATGGCGCATCCAGATGAAATCGGCGCCCGCTTCCAGGGCTAACTCCTTCCACCGATCTGCTGTGCCCCCAATCCAAGTCACCCTTGGCGTTATAAACTGACAGTCCCTGCAGGCCGAGCTGTGGCTGATGCACCATTTCAGAGCCCAGTTGCCTCCAGCACAGCCTGTAACCGACTGTGAGCTGGATTCCTTTTGGTTAAAATTAGCCGGAGCAATTATTTCATACCCACAAGCTTAATGTATTCAGTTCAGCTGCTGGAAGCGTGCCCACGTGCCGGCAGCTTTGCGATGGTGAAAGAAAAGGAGTTCTTCAGTGGAGGTCACGATGAGCTGCAGCTCCAGATTAAATTGCTTGTAGTGGCACCTGTAACCGACTGTGAGCTGGATTCCTTTTGGTTAAAATTAGCCGGAGCAATTATTTCATACCCACAAGCTTAATGTATTCAGTTCAGCTGCTGGAAGCGTGCCCACGTGCCGGCAGCTTTGCGATGGTGAAAGAAAAGGAGTTCTTCAGTGGAGGTCACGATGAGCTGCAGCTCCAGATTAAATTGCTTGTAGTGGCAGTGTGCCCGGCGAGGGCGAGCTGGGCTGGGAGCACCACGCTGATTCGCCACCTCTGCTACAGCCCATTTGACAAACAGCTTTTAAACTGGAGCAAGATCTCAGAGGATGGGAGCAGCCGTGCAACTAGAGTGTCTGATGGTCCCTCCATTGCAGCCGAGGCTGTGATTTTGGTGGTTTTGAGTTAGTGGCTGGAGAGCAGAAGCTGAGCTGCTCCCACCAGCAGGCAGGGCAGTGTTGTGGGCAAGCACACCACCAGATGCACGCTGAAGATAACTGCCACCACAGCTGCAACCTGTAAACCAGACCCTGCCTGAAGAGCTCAGCATCCACGCTCCCCAGAAGCATTTTTGTTTTTTCTTCCTCTTGCCTTGCAGTGTTCTGACAGTCCCCAGCTCCCTCTGCGGCACCAGGTGGGGTGCCATGGTATTTTGGCCACCTCTTGCCATGAAAAATGGTAGAGTTCAGCTGAGACCCAAAAATATTTTCACTACACAACTTGGTCAGAAATCCCCATGGTTTTTGGCTTAGGAAAAGGGGACAGCAGAGGACTCTCCTAGTGAGAGCAGGGTGGCCTGGATGTGTCACAGCCCCAGCATCACCATGGGCATGATGCCTCTTCTCAATCAGTGTCCCTGGTAGAGGCTGCTCCCTTTCCCTTGTGGCTCTGCTTTCCTTGTTGGTGATGGATGAATGGATTCCTGGAGAGCAGCACTGAGCCTAAAAAAAACCCCTCTCTCAACTGGCAGAAAAACAGTAAAAGGATGCAGTACAGCTGGAAAAACAGTCTGTAACTGATTGCCTGAATTATTCAGACACTCACAGCAATTCTTGCCCTGTAATTCATTGAGGAAAAACATAACTACAAGTGTTACTTGAAATCAAGATTATTTTGACTGGACAACGATCAGACAGCTGCTGTTCCTCACCCAGGCTAGCAAACCTCTTCAAGATCCTGAGTGATCTGTCATGGTGACAAATCTGAAACTTATGTCCTATAATTTTTCACGTTGTGAAGAATGACTCAGCTACTAGTCCTACTCTGGGCTCACTTGCTCACCCCTCTGTGGCACAGCACTGCGAAAGCAAAGCAACACATCATGCCACAGCCCACTCAAAATCACTAAGAGGAGCCAAATGATTTCCCCTTCTGTCGGTTTGCCCTGTTGCTTGGTTTTGTTTGCAGCCCCTCACTGAAACAGTGCAAATTTCATGGTCTGTTCATGCGTTTAATTGCAGCAAATGAAAATCGGTACGAAGGAGGTTGGAAAGAGGGAAAGAAGCACGGCCCAGGGAAATTTTTCTACTTGGATAAGGGACAGTTGTTTGAAGGCATCTGGGCAGCAGATACACCAAAATCTGGAATTCTGATTGACTTCGGCAGAGACGAAGCTCCTGCCCCTACTCAGTATCCAATCCCAAAGGTAATGGCTTGGAAATTTCACTTTTCTTAGTGGTATTTGCATTCATCAGCGCTCGGGGCAGCTCTCCAGGTAGCATTTCACTCTGTGGGTGATCACCCCCATGGGATTCCCAGCTCACAGGGTGTGCTCTCGCAGTCTTTTGGCCAGCAGTTCCTAAATGGCCTTGGAGGGACAAAGGGCCTGTCCAGCCACTGCTGGAGCCTCCTCATCACCTACAGCTGAAAAACTGCAGTTCTTGTGTGCCAAAACTGCTCAGAGACCTGAAGCAGCACAAAGGAAACGGGGACAATAGAGGCAGAGACAATAGTGGGATTTGCGTCAAAACCAAATGATTTTGCCAAGCCCAAGTGCTAAAGCTGACTAGACCTTAACAAACCCCGAGAAACTGCAGCGCTGCTATCACCTACTTCCTTTACCCACACACCCTGAGTTGGGGGCTTGTCCATGTCCAGCAGCCTGGTGGTGCTGCAGATTGCCACCTCACCCCAGGGTGGGCAGACAGGTGTCTGGGAGCCGATACCCACAAAAGCATCGTGTTTCCAAGGGACGGTTACTGCAAGATGCAGGTGGGGAAGCTCCTCTTGGCTTAGAACCGAGCAGAACCCCACTAGGTAAGGGCAACACGCCGCTTTATTCCAGTAACAAGGGAATAGCGTGGCCCTGTGGCAGGTAAACTGCCTGCCTTCCTCCTCTGCTCCAGGGACAAGGTGTTGCAAATCATGTTGGGTACATGCAGTCCACCAAAGCTCACAGCTGTTACATCTTCCCATACTTTTTCAAATCTGGTTTCTGGAGCGGTAGCCCTCCGAGCACAGACATTTTGACTAAGCCAGTTAATCCTGTAAGTACTAGGCACACCCACAGCAGTGGAGAATAATAAATCCCAAACACTCACCAGGGAAAAACAGTCTCCTTTTTACAAAAGGAGCAAAAGGAGCAGGGCTTCTGTAGCTAAAAATATTTACCTATTTAATAGGTTTGTCAAAGGTCACGAGAGAACAGCCTCCCCGACCTGGGCAGCCCAAGAGCCTGGGAGGAATTGTCTTTTCACTGAGGCAGGATGTTCACGCCTGGCTCTTTATTTAACTCCCTGAAGACCAAGTTATGACCCAATTTTCTTCTGCTCTACGAGCAGAAAGAAAGCGTCAACTTTCACTGCCATTCTTAGGCTTTCCATCAGAAGAGACTTAGTGATCTTGGAACATAAAGGAAGTAACAGATAAAAGGAGAAAAACTGACTTCGGATTTCCATAAACTTTCCATCAAATTACTATTGCGGGCAGCCACTAGAGAAAAGTAGGTGATGGGTGTTAGAAAGTGCAGGTGGGTGCTGTGACTCCAGACTTCTGCTTTCATGTGACCTTTGGTGCTCACTTGGGGAACTGCAGTTACCCTTTAAAGGCAGAGGCGAGACCCAACAGGCTACATATCAAAGCCAGTTTTGCCCAAAAACGTGTTCTGTTAAAGGAGCATCAGCCTGCTCCACGCTGAGCTATTTCAAGATGAAGTGATGTTCAACACGCTGATAAAATTAGGGCAGTGAGGCAATGTTTCTAGGGCAGTAATTGAAAGGCTGCAATATAAACTGAAGTCCTGATACATGGGAGATTCTCTGCTAATGCTTCCGTAATCAAGATCTATAAAACCTTAAGCTTCTTCAATTACACTGCATAACTGATTTGTATTCTTTTTATTTAGATTGAACTAGCTGATCCAGATGGTGTTTTAGCAGAGGCCCGGGCGATGTTTGATGACAGCCAGAATTAATAACCAGATGCTAAAGGAAAAAAAATAGATGCCAAGATAAGAACACAATCCTGGGTTACTCATTTGAGCCTCAAATCCACGCTGCGGTGCATCGTGTTGTGCTACCTCACCTTCCCCTCAAGGCTACTCATGTATGCTTCACTCTGAGGGTGGCTTTGCTCAGAAGCCTCCTCCCACACTCCCCTTACCTTGTAAAAGAAAGGAAAAAACAGAGAAATAAAATAATAAAAAATTAGAAAAACCACAAGCAGCAAAATGCTGAAAAATGGGCAGGGTGACTCTTTGCCCAGCTCCTCTGAGTCATTCCTCCTGTCAAGAAATCGCACTCCTGGGGGTTTCAAGATCTTCACGTTGCCTTAGAGAATCGCACCACCACCTGGACTGGAAAAGACCTATAAGATCAGAGTACAACCATTAATTTAAGACTGACAAGTCCTCAACTAAACCATATCTCCAAGGAGCAGTGTTTCCATGATATGCTATAAAAGCAAAGCCCTAGAAAAGTACAGTCAACTAATCGTCCCCTCCCACTCCCCCTAAACTTAACCTGGTACATCCCTGTGACCCAAGACAGCTTTTGAAGTTACAACAGACCACGATTCAATTTTTTTTGTTAACACAACTTCGCTTGCTCTCTGCATTTTCCATAACGTGCTGCTGGTTCTCCTCCCTCACCCCTGGGATCTTCCCCGGCTCTGCTACTTGGCTGGCCAGCCAACACGCCAGACCCCCAGTGGCACCACACCCGCTGCTCTGGTTTTGCCCGACACCAGGACGACACACAGCCACGCGTGTCAAGAACGTCACCCACAAGGCCGAAGGAAGGTGGCTCGCCAGCCGGCTGGTGAAAAACAACCCGTGGGTGGAGTATCACCTTTTGTTTACAGCTCAGTCGGTCCCTCGACTCTCCGTGGTTCCCAGGCTGGACGATAACCTACTTTTCTATTTCAGCACTTGGAGAGAATAACGATACAGCACGCTCGGTCCCAAGATTTAAGCGGCGCTGACAGGAGGAAAAGCACTTCAGCTACGTTATAATCTTTAGAGCTGTGTGAACAGGAAATTTTATCTTCTTATTATAACCAAAATGAGTAACTGAACACATTTTAAGAAAACCTCTGAAATGCAGTTAGGATTAGCACAAGGTAGCTGAAGAGCCAAGGGCTCTAGAGAAAATAAGCATATTTTACCCCTCGAGATAACAAATAATCAGCAACGATTGAGTATATTTTATTTCATTGAAGTGTTTCATATCTAAATAAGTGACATACAATAACCAATGTTTAAAATGCTTGAGGTAAATGCATAATACCATTAGTATAAATAAGGGATTAAAAAAAAAAAAAATCTAAGTGCACTCTTGATGTTTAGATCCTCGTGTCTGGGTCTGGTTACTGCCTCTGGCACACCGTTACGAGACTGTGCCCAAGGTGTAATTTTCATGACCATTTCCGCAGGTGGAAAATGAGAGTGACATCCTCGTTATCATGGCTTAAAGTGCAGAAAATAGTTAGAAAAGCAGCTGTTGTAACAGCGCCATTAGCTCAGAACCTACCAGCTTGAGAAAGTTAAAACCAAGGCTGTCCCACTAGCTTCTAATTCCATATTTCTTAAACAAAAAACCTCACACTTCTCTCACTTTGTCCAAGAGCTACAAAATCAAGAGTAATTTGGCTGCTTATCCAGGACAGCAAGTAATTTTACAAAATAAACCTGGCAAATACAATTTTCTGGACTTCCAATCAAAATAATGGGGTAACTTAAATATGCAATTTAGAGACAGAAATATAATTTTTAAGCCTCACAGCACCCTTTCAACCATTGGTTCTACTGTGCATATCAAGTCAGGTTTTCTTCCTTTAACGAGGGATTTTTAAGAGTCTTTCTCCAAGACAGGACTAATACTGCAGTAAAGGATGAGAACATACATTTTGTGCCTACTACCAGGATTTCGTGTTTTGGAATGCTGCTTCATTAATACCTTTACTAACCTAATCCTTCCAGTGCTCCAAGAACAACCACCTGTGGGACTAATCACAATTCTCACCATCAGCAGATTTCCCTCAGTAACAGAACACCTTTGGAGCACAGCGTAAGGGCAGAGTTGGAAAATACCCCGTTTGGCCTCTGTATGTCAGAAGGACTTGTGAAAATGGCAAGCAGAAAGCTTGCAAACTGAGAATGCTGCTGAAAAAAAATCAGAAAAAAAGAAGAAAGCCCAGCATTGTTTTTTATAGTTATTTTTCAGAACACAAATGCACACAGGTAACCTTGTCAACACTTTCCATCGCACTGGTGCCGACAGGAGAAATCAGTCCCATTCGCTTCACGAGGCTGCTTCAGTAGTAAATACACGCTGCTGCCCTGTTATTTAATCTCCAACACACCCCAACTCCATGGGCACGTCTGGAAATACGTTGGGATAACCTGAGACGGAGGTTGGGTGTGGGAGACCACGTTGAGCCCAGGCTCAGCCAGGTGCAGCTCTTCTCCGTATCATCATGCACACTCCTGCGCAATTTCAAAATCCCAGGTTTCTATTCCACAGCGTTGGCTACGATAGGGAGGTCAAGTTTTGTTCCATTAGACTCAGAACCTGTCTCAGTTTGTGTTCAAAAACCAGCTTTTTACCCATGAAAGCCCACAGCTGCTCCATAGAACAGCTGTATTCCAAAAGCATTCCCCTTCTAGACATAGCCAGAATTACTGAAGCAGCCCAGGACAACTGCTGCCATCTTTCCTGGACAAATCTCTTCTCTAAGAGACCAAGGGGAAGTTTTTACATAAAGAGGAAGTAAAAAACAACACGGTAGCCTCGCTGCCAACAGACGTGTCTAAAAGTAAGCAGCAATATTACTCACCAATAACCTGCTGTCATAAATAAATACACACAGAGAAAAGTAGTCTTCCTCCTTTGGAAGCAAAGAAATGTGTAACAAGTTATTAAATACAACACTTCAGCAAGGAAAAGACTTTTTCTAAACATGGAAGACCAAGGCATAGCTAATTACTTGGGAATCCAATGCAGAGAAAGCACCTTTTGCTGCTTGTATCTGAGGATTTATTAAAAAATATATTTTTTTAATATAAAAGTATAAAATAATTACTACTTTGGCTTTGAAAAAGCTCAGCAGTGGTTCTGATTTTCAAGCAAAAAAATTATCCAGTGATAATTTCCATCTAGTTCCTTCTTTTTACAAAAAGATTCCTAAATGGGAAACAGGCACATCTACCTCTCCAGATAATACGTGCTGGCTCAAGAGAACTTTAAAACAGTTATTGCTTTAATTTTCTTCCAAGGAAGAGCAGAGTTGAGTCTCATTTCCACTCATGTGGCCATGCCACATCGCAGTAAGACTAGTCACGGGTCTTTAGCAAGTTATAAAATGTGTAACTGCCACAGGAAAAAGGCGTTGGAGAAATCACTAAAGTAATAATTACTTGGCAGCAAAACATACTGGAGAAAGTGGTGAGAAAGCTTTCACTTCTACCATCTGTCAGGCTTTCTAGAGAGAACAGCGCTAGCACTGAAACCAAGTGCTAATTGCTGCATATCCCAAGTAATTTGTATCATGCCATGCGACGCGGATCAGACAAACAGTATCTTCTAGCAAATGCCAACATCAAAGAGAGGGGGGGAAAAAAGCTTCTGTATCCATCCCTAACAAATACCCAAATCCACAATGATATTTTTCATGTATTTATACAGCTACTATTCAGCACGAACAAGAGGCAATCTAGACAGTGCTCACAAGAGGAGGGGCGCACGTGTGCAGCGCAAGCACACCCCACTATACACCTCTTCAGATATCGGATAGCTAAAATTTTATGAAAGGAACTTTTTTCCCTCCCTCTCTAAAGGATTAACCAACATTTATAATCTCTCTTTAAAGAGTGATAATCAACAGTTCGACCAGTTCATCCACAGGGGAGTCACCATAACAAGGCACAAGCAGAACAGTGACTTTATTTTCTTTAAGTACAGGTTTACGCAAAATGGGTAACAGCGGAGGAGATGGTATCGCCTCTGTGATCCAGCTGATCCTGGAGCCGTGCAAATTCAGCAAGTTCATTCAGTTCTTGGAATTGCCTGTCTGTTTTATGGCTCACCAGTGACCTGTAGAAGTGGACTGCAAACACAATGAAAATCAGTCCAAAGGGAACCATAATGGACGTGGAAGCAATGGCTGCTGCCTGTCCTGATGTGATGGTAGAACTGTTGCTCTGGACTGGATCATTTTTTTTCTTTAAAGGAAGAAACTTTACCCAACACAGTAGCACCACTTCTGCAAGAAAGAGCAAAGTCCCAATGACAGTAGAAAAAGCCCACGCGAGCTCAATGTGCCGATGCATACGCTCATGGGGAGACTCCTTTACTGAGTTGAGATTATGCACATTGCTAACAGCCTCTATGTTTGGAAGAATGCAGGTACTTATCATGAGTGCAAACAGGTGAACTGCAACCAGGACAGTAGTACAGGCACTGAAGGCTATCAAGAGACCTTGAGGGTAGTCGTGGTCTGAGTCCAGCTGAACTTCTACCATAGCCACCTGAAAAGGAAAGGAGAGAGAAGCAATCACCCATATTACATTTTATTTCAAGTTTAAATAGTGTTTCCAGAAGATCATCTAGTCCAAACAAAGTAACAGTCTGCATTTAAATTTCTCTTCATGTCAACCTTTTCATTAGGTCCAAATTTAAGTCCAAGCTATCAAGCCAAAGCCAAGGCCACTATTTTCATACTTACTCTTCTGTCGTAGAACAAACCACCAGTATGCATGACAGCTATTAATGGCACAACCACTGTGCCACCTCCAGCTTATCCCAACAAAACAGCTGAACTTTGTCACCATACTTGAACTCTTAAAGTGAAACATTTTGTCTTTCCTGTGTTATATTGTAGAGGCAGCTCTTGATCTTCCACTACAGGTTATCAGAATACAGAGCCAAAAAATTAAAGTCTCCACAACATCCATGGCAGCCAAACAGGCCTGTTAGG